GGAGAGCCTCCAAAGCTACAGAGAAACTCTGTCTCAAAAAACCAAAAATAAATAAATAAATAAATAAATAAATAAATAAATAAATAAATAAAAAATAGCTGGGTTGTGACCTCGTGGTGCAGTGGTAACATGTCCAACTCCAAGAATTGCTGGGTCCAGGGCTGGAGAAATGACTCAGAGGTTAAGAGGACTGGCTGTTTTTCCAGAGGACCCTAGTTCAACTCCTAGCATCCACATGTTCCAGAGCATAAACAAATGTAACACACTTTTTTTGTTTGTTTGTTTGGTGTTTTTTTTGAGACAGGGTTTCTCTGTATTGCTTTGGAGGTTGTCCTGAAACTCGCTCTGTAGACCAAAGGAGCAAAATGAATTCTAGAAAGCTGTTTTCCATCCCACAATGGTGTTTCTGAATGTCGGGTTGTCAGTGTTTTTTGTTTGTTTGTATTCATGTCTTTCCAAGCATCACAGTTAAGTAAGATGAGGACAGGCAGGGTTAGGACTCTGCTTCATGTCTGGTGTCCTAATAAGAAGGACTATGGGCTTTCTAGAATTCATTTTGCTCCTCTGGTTCCATCTGTAGCCAGATCTGGACTGCACATTTGGAATGGATGAACAGTGTGATGTCATATTGCAATGAGACAGATGTGGTGCCAGCCACGTCTGCCTCTCCTGCTTCCCTGACTGGAGTCTGGACATGGCAGGGAGACATCTGGGGTGTGGATAAGGCTATGCCATAGGAATACAGGGGGCCACTGGAGAGGATCACTGTCAGTGACCAGCTTAGCCTGCACCTATTGGTTCCCTGCTGTAGAACATTATTTAAAAGTGTGTTACATAGGGCTGGAGAGATGGCTCAGCGGTTAAGAGCACTGACTTCTTCCAGAGGTCTTGAGTTCAATTCCCAGCAACCACATGGTGGTGGCTCATAACCATCTGTAATGAGATCTGGTGCCCTCTTCTGGCCTGTAGGCATACATACAGGAAGAACACTGTATACATAATAAATAAAGAAAATCTTTTAAAAAAATGTGTTACATAAACCAGGCGTTGGTGGCTCACACCTTTAATCCCAGCACTCAGGAGGC